AAGGTTTAAGAACCCATTCAGTCGCAGGAGGTATTATTGGTAAACCATTACCCGCCATAGGCACGACGTACGTTTTGTCAGTAGCCTGCCAGATGCACAAATATATATATTTGTTCATATATATATATATATATATATATATATATATATATATATATACAATACAATACAATCTTTTATTCACTCCAAAAAAAAAATGAAGCCAGGATGACTGTGATAAAGCTCATAGAGAGCTCATCTAGCACAGCCACCTGAACCCAAATGTACACAAATAACAAATAACCAGAAATTAAAATGAAATAAAACGTCATCTCTTTTTTTTACAAATTTTCTCTGTCATTAAAATTTAACAAAAACAATTTTAAATTCTTTTTGAACATAGTAAGTGATGTTCCGTTGAAAGAAAAATCATTTTTTAAAATGTCATTCCAAATCCTTGGTCCTCTACAGACAACATGAGAATGCAACAGATTTGTTCGCGATTTGTTGCTCATCAGATAATTGACACGTCTAGGATTGTTGACTACTTTGAAATATTCGTCAAACGTTGGAGGAAGCTTTTTGGACAGTTGCTTGAAGACAAAAATGGCTGTGTAATATTTACTGATCCGATCCAAATTTAAATTATTAGTGGAGAAGAATAATTGATTTGTATATGTGAATTGTTTAGACAGCGTTATCACCCTTACCGCTCTCTTCATCAGAATTTTAATTGAATTTGTTGTTGAAGGATACGCGCCAGCCCACACAACGTTACAATAATTTATGTGAGGTGTGCAGATAGCATTATAAAGCAGATTCAAACATTTTTTTGGAAGGTAGAATTTTATTTTATTAATTACGCCTATTGATTGAGCTAATTTGTTGGAAATGTGCTGAATATGCGCTTTGAAAGTCAATTTCTGATCCAAATACACTCCAAGGAATTTTATTGTTTTACTTTCTAAAATTTCATTTTCATTTATCACGATTTTGATAATTTATAATCAAATTTACTTATAATTCCTTATAAGGATTCCTTATAAGGATTCCTTATAATCCTTATAAGGAATTATAATTTAAATAATTATTTAAATTTTTATAATTAAACACTGCTCCTTATAATTTAAACACTGAACAGGTCTAAATATTATCATCTGCGATTTAGTTTTATTTATTGTTAGCCTGTTATCCGAGAACCAAGACATAACATGTGCTAATTCCGTGTTTGTTTTTTGAATGACTTTCTCAATTAATTTACCATTGCTAAAAATATTGGTGTCATCAGCAAAACATATGTAGTCGAAATAGCTGTTGGCGTAAGGAAGGTCATTAATAAATATGACAAACAGCAGCGGCCCTAAAACACTGCCCTGTGGAACACCATAATTATTAGCTTGTTGGTTTGAATTATTATTATTCCAGGATACATATTGTTTCCTGTCTGCCAGGTAACTTTAGAACCATTCTAGTGTTTTTCCTCTTACACCATAGTGTTCTAGCTTTCTGAGCATAATGTTGTGGTCAATGCAATCGTACGCCTTTGGTAAATCCAAACATATTCCGACTGTAAAATTTTTTTCCTCCGCAGCTGAGCTAATTTTTTGTATTAACTCTACTATAGCCAACTCTGTAGAGTGTCCTTCTCGAAATCCATACTGATCATTCGACAGAATATTATTTTTTCGTAGGAAGGCCGTCAATCTTGAGTGCATCAGTTTTTCAACTATCTTTGAGAACGCCGGCAATAGAGACACTGGTCGAAAGTTGGTTACATCATAGTTATTTTTTACCTTTTGAATAGGTATTATTTTTGATAGTTTGAAGCACTTGGGAAATTTTCCGGTGGCAAATGATAGGTTGATTAGATACTCAAGAACCATCACTGTGGAATGAATTGTTGAAATTACGACTTTTGCGGGTATATTGTCCCAACTACTTGAAGACTTTGGAGTTAACGACTGAGTTGTTGAAATGATCTCGT